TGAATTATTTGTAAATAATCTTTTGACCTGCTTTTGAACTTGGCAGCCAAATATCAAACAGATGGTCAACAGTGTCTTTGGAATATTCTCAGACTGAAAACGGACTGAGAAATAGCTCCCTGCATGCATTTGCGCAGGAGTGATATAGAAGTGGGTCCTCTCGGATACTTGATTTGAAAAACATTGTGGACTGTGACCACTCTCAGACTATGTATATGTGTTTATAACATTGGTGCACCAAAGCGAATTGTTCATGTTTCTGAATAAAGTAGACATTTGATGGCTGTATTGGCAAAATGCAAAGGTCTGCTGGCTGGTTTTCACCTACGAAAGGAAATAAATTCTCTGGACCTTTCTATTAAGTCAGGAGGGAAGAAAATTATTCTTTCTTGGTTAGGGAAACCCATTTACGAGTCGTGCAGAGGGAAAGACTCCTGAACTTTGATATAGAAGCATCTATCTATCTACCTATCTCTAATCAGAACAGAAGAGGAGAAAGACAAAGAATGGAATCTCGGAGAAAAAGGGAAGGGGGCCTGAAAATACCAATCCAACCCATAGATTTAGAAAAACACGAAAGGAAAATACCAAAGCTAGCTATCTTGGGGGGGGGAGAGAGAGTTCGGATTCAGTTTGCAGAATGGGTGATAGGTAGTTTGGAGAGCTGTGAGTTGAAAAAAAAAACTTTTCTGAACTTTTTGCTCTAGTGTCAGTTTTGGTCCTGCCTGCGGTGCAGAGACTTTCCGCCCTTTTCTTGTGGGCACGTATTAATAATTGTGTTTCCACAACAGAAATGTCTCAAAGCCTTTCAGCTGTGCTCCAATGATGTAACGCTCATGTTGGTGACGTGCCTGATGTAAGCTGGTGGTGTGGCGTGACATTAAATCTGTGGTGCTGAAGTCAGAGGCAGCCCAGCTCGAAATAAAAGGGGGAAGGACTGCCCTTGGTTAAATAAGGCGTACGGCCACTCCGTTGCTCTTTGAGGAGAGTTGCTTGTGAAGATTTCCCTTCTCCAAGTGGCTTCATAAAATGTGCTTTTAAAAACTGATACAAACTGTTTTTAAAATTCTGACTGTTTTTGTGCTGTGCTGTTGTCACCATGTGATCCCACTTTACCTGTCATGGCTGTGCCGCATGTAATCTTGGGATTTATAGTTTGACCCAGCTCCGGGAGGCAGTGGAAGACAGGATGGCCTGGCGTGCTCTGGGCCATGGGGTCACGAAGAGTCGGACACGACTGAACGACTAAACAACAACAACAAAGGGGCTTAAGAATTCCTCTCCTACAGCATCCTGGCTCATAACAGCAGAGAAATCTGAATACATCCTTAAGCGACAGTTTCCAGAATCCCCCAGGATTTAGATCAGTGCAAACTGGCGTATCTGTGCAATCTAAGTTCGTTCTGTCTTATGAGTTTAAGAGCAGCGTAGGAAGGATAAATCTAACTGGGGCTATCTAAGATTGATGTTGGGGTTGGGTTGGGTTGTTGTCATACGTACCTGCTGCGAGGCATAGAATGTTGGCTCAGAGGAAAATAGAAAGCAGGATCCAATCAGGAATTAAAAGCTGTCATATTTTATGGGATGGAGAGGAAGTTATCTTCTAGGTCAGATTCCTTTGTGGAGTGCTACGCCTGCCTGTTTTGCATGGAATAAACTGCACCACCCTAAGTTGGCATATTGGCTTGAAGAGTTGCACAAGAGTTGTAGTGCTCAATGTTTATGGTTGTGCCCCAACGGGTTCCCAAATAACTTTGGAAGACTCTCCTTCTTCAGGTACCACAACGTTTCCGAGAAGCCTGCTTGCTTCTCAGAGGGAAGGTGTGTCCACTCAGTAAGGCCTTGGGCAACGGATCTGCCTTGTCGTGAATTGAAAGCAAATGCTTAGGTGTTGTTTTTTTAAAAAATTCACTGTGATAATTTTACTACTGGAGATGTGGTTAAGGGACGCTCCAAGGATTTTATTGTATCAAAATAATCTGGCTGGCTTGATGGTCCCTAGGGGGGGTTGGTAGCACCCTTAAATTCTCCGTTCTGCTTTGGGGAGCAAAATGTTGGTGGTGAAGGCTGCTGGTTGCACTTTGTAAGAAAGCCGGTCATCTCAGAGATTCTCATTTACGCCGATTAAAAGGCTAAAAATGTTTTAAAAAAACATTCCTTCTGTTTGTAAACAGTACTAACCGGAACTAAATGCAAATGTCAATTGTATTGACCTTGGTTATTTACAAAGGGCTTTTGTAAATGGAATTTTTTTTAATAATCTGGCTGGCTTGATGGTCCCTAGGGGGGGTTGGTAGCACCCTTAAATTCTCCGTTCTGCTTTGGGGAGCAAAATGTTGGTGGTGAAGGCTGCTGGTTGCACTTTGTAAGAAAGCCGGTCATCTCAGAGATTCTCATTTACGCCGATTAAAAGGCTAAAAATGTTTTAAAAAAACATTCCTTCTGTTTGTAAACAGTACTAACCGGAACTAAATGCAAATGTCAATTGTATTGACCTTGGTTATTTACAAAGGGGCTTTTGTAAATGGAAATTTTTTTTTTACATAATGGATAGTAAGAACGGCAA